TGATCATGCAGAGCCTGAGAATCCCATCATGTGTGATGGGGTGGGTCTGAAATTGCTTCTCCTTAGGGATTCCAAAAAGTGAAGAACAACTGGGCTGTGTACTTAATACACCTAATAAGCCCCAAGGTGGGACGGGTATCACTAGCACAACAACTAACATTTATCTTTCACAAAATACTTTCACATTTATCACTTGATCCTAGTCTAGCCATATGAAGTATTATTTTCCTATTTTACAGATAAAGAATGGAAAGATTATATCCATTGCTTAAAGGCACAAAAGCACTTAAACGGTTAGGGCTTCTAGAGCTCAATTCTTCTAAAATCAAATAACCTGTACTATTCCCTGCACTATGTCCAGAAATTACATTTTACTTACTATGTGGCTTAAAAGATTCTTTAAAATGTAATTTTCCTTATTTGCTTAAGGAAATTCTATTTTGTTGCTTCTTTTTGATTTTAACTGATTTGCCTTGGCTGAATACATAAAGCTGATAAATAAAGTCATGGAAAAGATGTGTGGAAACCTGGACCAAGCATACAGATCAATATCCTTGGGGTGTCAGGTAGGGGGTCACCAACAGTACCAAATTTAGAACACAATAACTTCAATTACCACCACTATTCCAGGCCTCACTATTAAAGTTGAACATCATAATGTAGTGATATTCCCATAAGAGATTTATAATAACATCATCCAAAATGTTCTTTCCCTCAATGGACATATTAATCTTGTAGTATTCTAGGGAAATGAAGGATTGCAGGCAAGAAGAAACTCCAAGAAGTTTTTAACTCAGAGGAATATTCTCTGGCAGGATTTGGAGCTTACCTAGTTAGGTAACATACTTTACTAAGGTCTTTCCAGTTAATGCTACCCTTTCAATACAGATTAAAAAGTAAAATGGACTATGTCAAACTAAAGTAATGCCTTTGTGTGTGTTGGGGGGAGTGGTCATGTGATTTTTGCTTTAAGAGATTTTACAGAGCCAAAAATAGAATACATCTTTGAGGCTTCCAGTCCAGGGAATGAAACAACGTGGTTTCTTCATTTTTAAGTGGTCTGTTTTGAAATGAACAAATCTTAGCACTTCATCAAGCTAAGAAAAGAAGCAAAAGAAAAGAATCTGTCTCTTGGACCTGGGATAGTTCTGAAATTCAGAAGCTGAAGTCAACTGTGAGGCTGCCAAGCTAAAGAGAATCAACTGATTCAGTATTTTTTAATCAAACAAAACAACCACATATCCTTTTTTTTCTATTTTCCTCACCCAAAACTTGTGTTTCAATTATACAGACAAAATGTTTGTCAAATCCAGTGATACACAGCAGATTCATAGGACATATTGGGATTTAATAAGATGGAAATAAAAGGTCTTGTCTATAAGATTACATGACGAGAGCTTTTAAACAAAATACTCATATACAGCCAGCACATGTGTACACATTCTCTCCATATACACAAAGGTGTTCACTTCATCCACCGAGAAGTACCTGCACCCCGTATCAAGCATCTGCTGCAATAGTCATTAAAGTGTGTATTTCTAGTTACTGACCTTTATGTGAACTGAACAATAAAGCTCTTCACAAACCTGACAGAGAGCAGCTTTTCCAAAGGCAAACAGTGAACCACTGTCCCTAATGTACCCATCAAAGTAAACAATTAAAAATGGCATTTATTGCAAAATTTAAAAAGCCGTTGTAACATAACACTACTGAGATTATTTAAAAACAAAACCACGCATACACACAAAATAGTGTTGTGCCTTGGCATTTATTTTTAAAATAAAAATCATTTATTTCTTCATTTATTTAGCCGATGAATGGATTGAATAAATGGAAGGCAATCAAAAGAACCTCAGTGGTTTCAGCAGTTCAAGCTCTTGCCAACCTAACTTGGCCACTGGTGGGCACATTGCTGGTCCTCATGACACAGCAAATGTACAAGTAGCTATTGTGTGGATCCAACAATATTGAATCCATGTTCCCGTTCCTCAGTAACTAACTGCATGACCTTGTGCAAACTACTTAGCCTCTCTTAGCTTCCATTGGCTTTTGGAATATAATTATAAAACTAAATGGCTAATAGAAGGGTTCTACTGTATGCAATAATAAAAGAAATTACATGAAAGAATTACATGTAAGGATCTTAGCATAGAGTCTGGAATAGACCAAAAGCCCAACAAAAATCATTATTCACAATTCTCAATACCCAAGATATGGAATCAGTGTAAATGCCCATCAACAGATGAATGGGTAAAGAAAATGGGGTATGTGTACACAACGGAGCATTATTAAACTGTGAAGAATGAGTCGTCATTCACAGGAAAATGAATGCAACTAAAGAGCATCATGTTAAGTAAAATAAGTTGCACTCAGGAAGACAAGTGTGGCATGTTCTACCTAATTTGTGGAATCTAAAAAATGCCATGAAAGTAGAAAGGAGGCTATTATTAGACAAAAGAAAAGGAATAAAGAGGAGGGACAAAGGGTATAAGGAAAGGTAATGGAGGTGGATATAATAAAAATATATTATATACATTCAAACCCAGTACTTTACAAAATTAATGGGCACTAATAATTAGTGAGGTGTTAAAAAGTTAACTATTTTTATCATTGAGCAATCTTATAGAATAACCACAGAATTTATTTTGTAACGCAGGGCACTTTAGAAGTGGAAAGGAGCTCTAAAGTAACAATACAGTAGCAGGAACAGAAGAGCACCCTAGTCTTAGTCTGCGCAGCATAGTCTGGTAGTGTGGAAAGCTGGCAACTAGGAGCAAGTTTCCAAGGCCAAGCTGCATGAAACGTAAAATGGCATTGGTAAGGGAGGATGCCTAGCCACCCTTAAAGGGAAATATGAGCAATGGAGAGGAAGGGCTCAAAGAAGACAAAAACTTCCACTTTTCTAATCAGCCAATGACAGGATCATACCAGAAGCAACTGTCAGTGTCAAACTTTCTGCAGCATTCTAAATTCAAACAGATCCAACTCTTGCTGTAGCAGAAAATGCTGCCCCCCAAGCCAGTACACTTCAGTTTCTTAGTTGCCCAGGTAATAGTTCCTGTTCCAGTGCCAGGTACTCCTGTGTCTTAGAAACGGCTGGTCACTGTGATGCACATTGTATAAACCAATTCCCATTTGACAAGTTATTCTGCCTCTGTACTTCCTGCTTGCTTATTTAATATGAGCAAGCCCTAGACATCAGATATCAGGGTCTGATATTTTGGTAGTGGTCTTGATCGGTGCCTGTCAACATAAATAAATCTGCCTCCAAATCCTGGTGTCCTTTCTGTGTTTCTGCTTGCCACTGCAGCCAGTGCAGCATTATTTTACACAAGACTGTGAAATTATGCATTTCTAAAATCTGCATTCATCATAAATCATTGGCTATTTCATAGATTGGGTCACAGGTTCATGGGTAGTGTCTTTAACATGACATTTTTTCTAGTAGTTAAGCTAATTAAAAATTAAGAAAAAATAGCACAGTGGTTACCCATAATCAAATCAAAAAGATAGTAACCTGAACAATATACCAGAATATTACAGTCACTAGAAAGAACATGCCTTCCTTCCTGATGTCTTTAACTCAAACACAGAGTTTCCAACAAATTAGCCAATCCATTTTTAAAAACATGTGAAGGTACAATCTACTAATTTTTTTAAACATCTTATTGTTGTACATATACAAAAAAGAATACTATTCATTAAAAAGAGTGAGAGCCATTTGCAGCAACATAGACAGACTGGAGATCACTGTATTAAGTGAAATACAAACCTAGTTAGACAAGTACCACATGACCTCACTCATCTACATAGTGGAATATTAAAAACTTGATCTCATGAAAAGCAGGAGTAAAATGTGGTTAGGCTAGGAGGAAGGAAGGGATGGGGTAAAGCTGAGTAACGGACACTAACTTATAGTTGTATATGAATAAGTTCTGGTGTGTTACTGTACAGCAGGGTAACTGTACATAGTGTTAATGCACTACAGATTTCACCAAGATAGAAGAAAGGATTTTGAATGCTTTCAGCATAAAGAAACAATAAGCCAATAAGGTGACTTATGTCTATAATTCCAGTTATTCAGGAAACTGAGGCAAGGAGGATTGCAGTTTGAGGCCAGCCTGGGCAACTTAGCAAGACCCTTCTCCAAATAAAAATTTTATTTTTATAGCATTTTACAGTTTATATATCACATATACCTGAACATATATCTGTATATGGTGTATCTATATATCTGTATATGATGTATCTTTTTGACACTTGTAGCTTCCTGAAATAGGTAGGCAAGAAACTATTTCAACATGTAAATTTATGTCTATTAATATTTATTTTAAAATTATTTTACATTAAACTGAGAGTTCAATGGATTAAGAAAGTCAAGAGATTTATACTTGAGAGTATAAATTGGAATGGAACATCATTCTCTGTTGCTAAATACAGGTGCAAGTCTCCCGGTCCTTCTATTCAGTCCTGGCCTTCCTTTCAGCCATCACACCTCAGTGAAAGGAGTCATTGGTGAGGATGTAATACACTATTTTTCACAACCATTAGGCTGTAACTACTTGTTAGATCCTTCTTGCATATCTCTGTCTTCCTGAGAAACCACTTTGAAGACACCACCATGTATTACAGCAGCCATTGATATTTTCCTACCAATCTGTCCATAACTCTGTAATGTTTGTATTGTTCCTATGCTATTTTATAAACGGATGTATGTTTATTATTATGTGTTTCCTACAACAACCACTGAGAATAGTTAATGATTATTCAATTGGTCACTCATGTATAGTTCTATTTATTTTCTTTAGAAGCCACTTTGAAGATACCAAAGTACAGTACAACTATTGATAATCTCCTACATCTTTTATCTGCAACTCACTATTATTTGTCTGTTTGTTTTCCTGAGAAACTATCTTGTAGATTACAATATGTAAAACAACAACCATTGATAATTTCCTACCACTTTGTCTGTAATTTGGTAAGCTCCTCCATTACTATGTTATCCTTCTTGTACTCCTTAAAATAAAAAAAAAAGAAACATATTCAGAGGAAGGTAGTTCAGGGCAATATCAAAATTATACATACCAGATGAAACGTGCTTGGATTTAAATAATTGTTCTTGTGCACTGGCCAATAACCACTGATTTTATCTATGAGATTAATTATTAAAACTTTAAATATTATTGTCACTTTGACAGTCCTCATGGAAATGACAGGACCAGACAATAGATGATTTAATAAGTTCTCTTTGCAAAGAATTAATTTATCAACTAAAAACTGACTCAACAACAAAAGTAAAAGGGTACTATGGGGAGAATTTTTAAACTGTGACTGTTTTTTGAAAGAAAAAAAGAGCATTTCTCTCTTTTCAATGAGAAATGCTAAAAGGATTAAGAAAAAAACTGCTAAACATGGTTCTACATGGGACGAAGTGGAGCAGTAATGGAGAGATCATAAGACTTCTCCATGTATACATTCTCCTTACATCATCTGAATTTTGATCATACCAAGAATAATATATACAGAAATTAAAATAATTTAAGATTTGCTTATTTTAAGAAAATAAAGATCCATACGTACTGCCCTTGAACTTACAAACAATAACACAGAGTTCAGACACAAAGAAAATACAGTGCTTCTATACCTCTTAAAAGATGGTGGGAGGGGAGAGGAAGGGAAGAACAGGATAAAAAAGAATTAAGAAGTACCAAGCCCCACAATGAATGCAATCATTATGTACTGCAAGCATGAATTGCTAAAAACTATAAACTTTATTACATGATGCTCAATAAGTCTAAATGAAGAAAATGGGCCAGACCTAATACAGTCCAAATTGATACAAATAAAGACATGGACACAATTTGCATTTGATTAACACTACCTTTCTGCCCAGATTTTCAGTGAAACAAATTGGAAATATTTGTAAAATATTTTCAGCTTAATTGTGTACATGAATTAAATGTGTTAGATGTTTGACTAATTAGCAGTAAACATTAAAGGACAATTCAACAAAGTTGAATCATGGTTTTAAAATTCCCTAAACAAGTTAGTGACTTACCTTATTTAGATATTTCATATTTTGTTATAGCCAATGCGATAGGAATTATTTACATTAGTTGTATTTATTGAGCAGTACATTGGATGGATGTTGTGATATAGTAAGTCCTATGGAAGAATGGCTAGGATCTATGAAACATGTATATGAAGTTTGTGTGTATGAATATGGTGAATTCTGGAATTCTTTCTATGATAATCTGTGAAATCATAAGCACAAACTAGTTTCTGGATGTGAGAACAGCCTGCTTAAAACATCTGTCTCCTTCACAGATGGTTCTGTGTGATGTGGCCAGCTAGACCAGCATCTGCTTCCTCTGATCTCTCCACATAAAACTTACCTGCTCTGTGACTTTTCTATCCAGATTCACATAGTCAGAGTTCAAATCCTAGAAGTTCTGGCTTTTAAGAGACCGGGAAAGTTCTTACACAAATCCAAAGGCTCTCTTCATCTTCTCCATTGCCTGAAGCATAAGCAAAATTTCATTTATTTGTAGTGGGGCTATATTACTCAGCTCTGCATTACCAAAACTAAATACCTGAAGTGATCAATTTATCAAGAGAAAAGGTTTACTTTTGCATTTCTGGAGGTTCCAATCTGAGATTGAGTGACCCCACTGCTGTGCACCTCTGGTGATGACACCAGATGGTAGTGGCAGGGTGTGTGGCAGAATAAACCACTCACACTGTGAGCTAGGAAATAGAGACTAAGAGAAGAAGGTCCCACAGTTCCCTTCAAGGGCACACCCTCAGTGACCTAAGGACCCCTTAAACATCCACAGTAGCACTGAATTCCACTACTGTGGAAGCCAAACCTTTGGCACATGGATGAGGAGGGAGGGACCACGCATCCAAATCACAGCGATGGCTACCACGGAGGGGGCCAGTGGAGAGCACTGGTGCTGAAAGTCCATGCTCACTGGGCCCCATCCCTATGCTGCAGGATCTGCTCCCAATTCCAACAAAATGCCCTGTCAGCTAGTGCGAGCCCTTGGTGCGTCAGAGAAGTGAAAAGCAGGCCCCTCTAATTTTGCTAATATTCTTCCCTTTACAGTAAGGCATAAAATACTACAATATCCACATTTAAGGGGTAATTTTAAGATTCTATCCAGCTAGGCAGACTGTATTTCCACATTCTCATCTAGTTTGCTGAAAGGAACTTCTTCCCTTAACTTTGGTTTCTCTCTCTCAGCCCTACTTCTCTTTCTCTCCCCCCTGCTCCCTGCACCCACTCATATTTCTTTCTCTCTCTACTTCTCTGACCTCATTCGATAGACCTTGAAGAAAACAATATTCTTTGTGCATGGAATTTTGATACAACCCTCCAATTTGGGTTGAAACAGTTCTCTTTGCAGCCATCTGCCACCCAAGCTGTTTGCATGCCTCCCTAAATTCTCATTTCTAAAACGAGGGCGGGATCAAGGAAATATGCTGCCAGATTCCTCTGAACTCATATGTTTGACTCTATCTGCCCTAAGATTTTCATTGCTGACTTCTAATCACCTCATCTCCTATCCCGAGGCCCTGTCTTAAAGTATCTCTGTGCCCCTAGTAGGCCACCAACAAAATGTCTACTTATTGCTCCTTCTGTAAAAATCATCCCTGAAAACTAGAACCATGTCAAAATCTATGAGAGAAAAAATTTTATTTAAAAGTTGATATGTTAAGTAAAAGAAATCCATGGGAATATACTTATTTTATTTATCTAGGAAGAGAGTTACTTAGAGTCATATGCTGAAAGAGTTATTAAATTCTTAGCAGTATAGCATCTGATAGGGGAAAACGTTAAACTATCCACAAATAAAGAGCAATTTTTAAAAAACTGAGCCATGACTGAAGAATAGTTTTAAACTGTTCCATGGCTGGAGTCCACTGTCATAAGCCAAAGTTTATAGAAGTCTTGTAATTATATGCAAAATTGTTTTGTGTTAATTTTCCTGGGGAGACATTACACAGATTTCATAAACTTCTCAGAGGGAATCTATGACCCAAATAACGTTCAGATATTGAAAAAGAGTCAGTGACTAAAGTACTTTTAAAAAGTCTCCCAGTAATTGATAACATTTTCTAATATTAGTCTATTTTAAATACAAGTATTAATAATTTAAAGGGCTTACTCATTAATGAGAATAAAGTATGGATCCAGGTAAGGTTTTCAAGCACTATGCAAACCACTTCATGTATGAATGAGAAAATTTCAAGGTACTTTTTAAGCTTTATTGAAATTAGTTGTAAATAATGTGTGCACTAGAATTTTTTTATATTTTATACACTGTGAAATAATCACCAGAATCATGCTAAATAATATATTCTTTAACTCAAATAACGATTTCCTACTTGTGTTTTCTTTTCTTTTTATTTTAAATATAAAAGGAGGAAAACATTAACAGACAGACAACCTTTTACAAAATAGCAAAAGAACAGTACAGACAATACAGAGTTACAAACAAAGGGGTAGTAAATTAACAATGCTTCTTGTATTACATACTGATATCTTCAAAGTGGTTTCTCATGAAAACAGATAGAGACATACAATATTGATCAATCAAGGACTCATTGACAGTTTCTTTCAGCAAAGAAATAGAAGACAGTAGAACAACTATGTTAACTATTCTGTATATACATACATACAAAATTTCTCCTTCTTTCCCTTTTCTTTTCCCACATCCCAATTGCCCTTTGCCCTTGAGTGTTTTCCTATCATTTCACAATGTCTATCATACCTCCTAGTTTAAATTAACTCTTTCAGGTTTTACACTAGTGAAACAATGTAGTGCTTGCACATGCAGGTCTGATGTATTTCACTTATGAGTATGGTCTCTTGTTGTGAACATTTACCTATAAAGGCCTCGAGTTTATCTTTCTTTATAGCTGAGTAATATTCC